CACTGTTTTCCAGTGTGCTGGTGCCTGTCGTGCAGAGCTGCAGTGGCACGACCACGACTCCTGCATCACTTCTCAGGGCTTCTTTCAGAAGAGCTGCAGGTGGCAGGTGCTACAGTGAAATGTTTGCATTCTAGGCCATCATAAAAAATATATAGGTACACAATCTATTATTAAAGTTTTCCAGGAATCTCTCCTCTACTTTCACCTTTACCTTCAGGGTTTGCTCTCTGCTCTCAAAGGTTCCAACAGAGGGAAAACATGCAAGGTGAAAGGAAGCTACTGTACAGCAGCAGCCATCACAATGAGGGGGACACAGGCAGTGCCTAAGAATGCAGTTTTTAGTGAAAAAGAGATCATTTTGAAACTGAAGTTTGAACATGAAAACAAAATGAACAGTGGGAATTGGCAGTAAGATAATGAGAGGTGGCAGTGGTGTTAGCAGGGACGTGATTATGAAGAGTAATTACAAAGAACCAATACAAGATAACTTCTTTTCACCCAGATAACCATCTTCTTTCTAGATGGAATGTGTAACATCACAGTGGGCTCATTGGTATTCCCATCTTGTCACTCTCACATGTATGATTTGAAGTGTGACTTTGAGTTTGGGTGTGTCGCCTCAAAGGGGTGTGAGTTTTAGAAGTTGAAAGATAAGCCACTTATTCTTAAAATTGAGGCCCTTTAACTTATTAATTGGTAACCTGACATCCTGAGCTCCTGAGCCTTGGCCACAGGCTGTCTCTTGGGCTAGCCTCTGGCTTTGAGGAGCCAACAGGATTAGGGGTTCTCACCTCAATAAGCAGTGAGGTTGCCTGGACAGAAGGGAGATGTTTGTTTATTGGTTTGCAGTGAGGAGTTTATGCTGCTCAGTTCAAGAACAGCTCCTCAATGTGATGAGCTTAAAGGTCTTTTCCAGCCAGAATGAGCCTGTGAGCAGCACTGCTCGCTGCAGCTGCCAGGCTCAGGAGGAGAGGCAGACTAGTCCCTAGAGCAGCTCTCTAAACCTGTCCTCTCTGTGCTCTCCAAAGCTTCCGCAGGTTTACACGGTCCAACAGCGTCACGACAGCCGTGCAGGCAGACCTGGATTTCCATGAGAACTTTGAGATAATGGAGCCTCAAGAGGACAACACGTGTTCTGGACAGATCTCCAGGCAGTTCTCCCGGGACGCGAGCACCTCCACCGTCAGCATACAGGGGTCAGGAAACCACTACCACGCCTGTGCAGTGGATGATGACTTTGAGACAGATTTTGACCCGTCAATTTTACCTCCTCCTGACCCCTGGATTGACTCTATCACCGAAGATCCTCTGGAAGCTGTTCAAAGGTCAGTGTGCCCACGAGATGGCCACTGGTTTCTGAAGCTCCTTCAGGCAGAGAGGGATCGTATGGAGGGCTGGTGCCAGCAGATGGAGAGAGAAGAACGGGAGAACAACCTACCTGAGGACAGTAAGTAACACTGCAACCACAAAAGTGTTTGCTGTAGGTCACACTTCCCCCAGTGAATTCTGTACCGTGCCCTTCCTTACGTAGCTAATGAAGCTGTGGTGGTGATTCTCAAAAGGACTTTATGAATGTCTATAATAATCCTCACTCAGCTTGACAGGGAATGCAAACGCTCAGCACTTCTCCAACTCCAGGGGTATTAGCTCCTGGGATTGCATAGTTCAACAGATAATTAGGAGGTTGTGTTTGGGGATCTTGTAGTCTTAATGTTTCTGAACTCTTCCATTTGAAATCACTTCTCATAAATTTAGAATATAAAACTGAACAGATTCTAGTTACTTTTCATTAAATTCATATTTTAGTTGCCTTTTTAGATGGTGATTGACATCAGAGTCTTCAGATGCTTCTCCCAGAGAGATTTCAGTTGTGCTTCCAAGTTGTGTTCTCTCTTCCCCTTTCCAGCCTCCCTTCATCTCCCTGGCAGTTCTTATTCCTCTTTGATCTTCCCAGTAAAACAAGCTCTCCATATTCTGTGATAAAAAACACACACATGCAAACTACATCTGAGCTGTCACCGCTGCCAGAAGTATCACCCAGCCTCCAAGGTGGTGGGAATGTCTAGGAAGCTCCAGCAGTAAGGAGGCTTGGGAAGCTCACATCTTATTCTTTCATGCTAATTGGGGAAGAAGTGCTGAGCATGTTCCTCCTTGCCCAGGATTTTTTCTCCCAGTTAAAATGGATTTTTTTTTTCCCCATTTACTTCCATTGCAAGGAGCAGCACTGCTGATGGCTGTCAGCTCCTGGACACAGGTAAAGCTGTGAGCCTAGGAGCACACTCCTTGTGAAGCAAATGAGAGCAGCATTTTTCCTGTTTTTTCCTTCAAATTCTATCAGGGAGCTTCTAGAAAACACTAAGGAGCAGCTGCGTATAGAGAGTTCAATATTGTATGATTTAGACACACCTAAGCATATTTTCCTGGATATACCAGTTAACACTTCTCTAACCCCAAATCAGCTCCTGCCAAAGGACTACTTCTTCCAAAGGATGGCTTCATCCAAATTTCTAACCCTTCCTCTCAAGAAAAGAGGTGCTAAAATTCTGTTGACATGTGAAGGGTTGATTTAGGAGGGAAAGGAATTAACAGTGGCAAAGGATAGATGTGGGTTTATTAATTCTTGGAAATGCAGGAGCTGCTTCTGCTGGAAATTTCCATTCAGCATAGTGAAAGAAAGAGCCACAGAGGAGTTTGATCTAGGTAAAGTTACACTGCTGGAAGGAACTGGAAATTGACTGGGAACAGAAAGGATGAGATAACCCTAACATTGAGGTGTGCTAAGAATTTATATTTCTACAAAATTTCTGTTATATAATAGGCTAATGATCTCTTCTGAAGGAAGAGTGTGGAAGGGTTAACCTTCAAAGCAGGTCCAGACTCCTCAAGTTTTAGAGTATTTGAACCTAATTCATTCACATCATGAGTACAAACAAAGATCTTTGAACATGTATCAAAACACAAATATTT